ATCCCCAGGAGCCGGTAAATAGAAAAAACGTTTAAAACATCGAAAAACCTTAAACCCTACACCCTAAATCCTACAACCTAAACCCTAAGCCCTTACTGCAAAACCCTCAGCCGGTCTGTCCTACTGGCGTGTCCTCTGGGAATCTCTGCCAAATCCAGCACTTCACATTGGGGGCCTCCTTTAAGTTCTTCCGTGCTGCCGAAGCAGTGGCTCTAGTTTGAACTAAGGTATACATGGGTGGTTGTGAAAATTGTAGTCCCTTTTTGGGTACCCTAAATATTAGGTGGCGTATTATAACAGGGATCCCAAAGGGACCACTTTTTTGACAACCACCCACATGGGGGTTTCCAGGAGGATGAGAAATTCCAGTGTATATGGGGGGTACCCCCGCATGTTTGGAACTGAGACTTTGCCTATCTTGCACAAGCACCACACTATATTTGGGTTTCAAGGCTTAGGGCGGTTTAGGGTTTACACTGGGTTCGGGTCCTCAAACTTCTGAATTGACTCTAGCCTGCCTTTGCAATGCGAGCCGTGTGTTTTTTGGGAATGGTAGGCCCAGCACCCTCTGGGATTCCCGGGATATGGGTCTAGGGTTTAGGGTTCTACAGGGGCAGTGTTGAGAATCCCTCATGAAGAGGCGCTGGTCTCTATGAAGGTTTAGCGTTGCAGCGGTGACATCTAACGTATTCATCACTTACCCGAGTCGGTGCGCATGTTGCATGCATCCAGCCAGCATCAAGGCCCCCCAGCCCTAAACCCTAAGCCCTAAAACCTCATTCAGGGTCCTTATGGCAACTGTTGCTGTAAGGGAGAAAGACCTAGTCTAAACCCTAAATCGTGAAGAGAGCCTGTACGTTGCCGTGAGAAGAACACATGAGCCCATGATAGATGATTCCCCATGGATAGAAATCCAGAAGCAGCTGAACAATCAAAACGACGCTAGTTATTTTGACCTAGTCCCTGGTAAGCAGCTGATGCCTGAACAAGATCCTTTTGGTAATTCCAACCCTTGAATGAGTAGCCTATAAGTTATCCGGTAAGAGTCATATGACGGTTATGGGTTCGGGCAGCCGGCGTTGCCAAAGCCCTCTTATCATTCGGGACCCTCAACCTGAACCTGTAAAACCTTCCCTATGCAACCCTAAACCCTAAACCCTAATTGGTGCCCTTCAGGTCGAGTACGCCATCTGTATGGGCTTCTGCTTAGCCTTCTCGGTTTTGATCTGGGCGTTGGTGTTGCTTGGCCGTGCTTCTGTTGATGTGGATGTTACTGTCGATACGAAAATCTTGCATGACCTTAGTATACTAGAGATACTAGAGTACCATGCAGTACGTAATTCCCAAGGCAGAAGAAATTCAGCGCTATGCAGGAATTCGGTATCAAAGACTCCGAGTTTCTTGGAACCCCCGCATGTAGATACCATGCCCCTCGGTGAAGAACCTCACAACTGCAAGCCCTTCAGAAGCTCCGGAATTCAAGGTTTAGGGCTTGCAGTTTGTCATATGCATGCCCAAGAGGCCTAGACACTCCTAATAACGAACCTACCTGTACCTTACAAAAGGGATGTGTAGCCAGTGTTTTCTAGGGGTATGCTTTTTACTGTAGGTAAGCCTCCTAAACCCCTAAACCCTAAACCCTAAGGCAGTACTTAGGCCACATCCCTTACACAAGCTCTCAGGTCCTAGGGTACCAAGAGCAGTCTGCAAGGACAGTTGACGGCAGCAGCCTTTTTGACAGGTCAGGGGCTTACACAGGCCCTGAGCCCGGTTTAGGGCTTAGGGTTCAGGGTTTAGGGTCTAGGGTTCAGGGTATTAGAGTTTAGGGTTCAGAGTTTAGAGCTCGGGGCCTAACGTTTAGAGTGTAGGGCCCTAAACCCTAGACTGCAGCGGAGAGCAGAGGACCTTCAGGAGGTGCAGGAAGCAACCGAGACATGAACGAAGTGTAGGCGCCCATTTGCTAAGAGTAGGGCTTTAGGGTATATTCTAATATGTTTTTACATACTTTCGTCTTCGATGACTTTTATTTAATTGACCCTTAACGCAGGGGTTCCCTACGCCCTAAACCGTGTTTCCCGTGTTTCCATTTTGGCTGTCATTGGGCCGTTTTTTGAAAGATGAGAGCGGGCGCCAAACTTTCCCAATATCAATGGTATCATTGTATAATAGGGGAATGTTGGTGTGGAGAGATTAGTTACTGTATTAAGAGGATTCTGGCAGCCCCAACCCCCCAAATTAGGACTACCCTAAACCCTAAACTCATGGCATCGGCCGCCCACCTTCGATGGTGGGCGGCGCTTAAGCCCCTCGACATCAATGACGCTCGCCCGCCTTCCCGCAGCCAGGGGTACTGTAGCACCCGGGTACCTAGAGGACTTCTGCTCAGCAATAGCGTAAACCCTGTGCCTTCCAGAGGCCTCCTCAAGATCGAGGGTCTGGCAGGCCCGGCAGCCTTCGTGCCTGGAAGCACGGAGGCTGTGAGAGGCTCTAGCCATCAGACAAGGCGTCTTGTCAAAGTCAAGGCTTTCCAAGACCTCCCAAGCCTGCAGAGCCTCTGCCCAGGCCTCAATGCTCATTTTGGAAGGGTCTGCCAAGGCCCCAGGGCTTGGAAGCCTTTGAAGGGCTCAGGCCTGCCAGAGTCTCTTCAAACCGAAAAGGTGAAAGCCTTTCACCATCCTCCAGGGGGCCTGCAAGAAGGTTTGAGATCCCTTCAACAACGAAGACACCAAATGAAATGAATTTGTGTTGTTGACCAAGATGGACCTAACTGAGTTTAGGTCCTAAACCCTGAAAGGAGTAGGCTTGGGTGGTTTGGCCGCCTCACACGGCGCGGGGTGGTTGGTTGGTTAGATGGCCCTCTACAGTCCGGCCATGGCAGCACCTCGCATGCAGCCATGTACTTGAAGGATCGTTGAAACGTAATCATCACTGCTTGCACGGTAACTCACAGCAGACCCTAAACCCCAAACTATATAGGGTCCTTATCATCTCGTGGCTTTGGCCGTTTGTTCTGATGGTGAAAACTCAGAGAGGAACCTTGAGTCGTCATCAGCATCCTCAGCACAGGGTTTAGGGTTTAGGGTTTAGGGTTTATGGTTTAGGGTTCGGTTTGCGTTTTAGAGTTTGGGGATTGGTGTTACCCCCGAAATTCTGTGGCTGCCATGGGAACTGACATAAGTTACCCACTTCATACGTAGACCACATCAATCTGTACATATATATATATATGTAAATATACATGATCCACCTTTTGGTGTTGAATCATGGGGCGTGGAGGGTTGAGAAAACTTTTTGATGCACAAGAAGTTCAAACATCAGTGAAAAACACCACAAAGCGCTGTAATGCGCAAGAAGTTACATGTTTCATTAAAAGCCGTACAAAACGCTGTAATGCACACGAAGTTCAACAAATCAATGCTTGTGGGAGTCATGGCTGGAAGGTTGAGGCCATACGTGCCAGAAGCATCAAATTTGTGCCGTACAGCGTATTGTGCTATCTGAGGCCACCATATGCTGTGATGCACAAAACATCAAAAATCATTAAAAATGCATCGCCAATCGTACAAACGCTTCCAAAATGTTTATTCAAAAGCCTCACCAAATGTTGTAATGCACAAGAAGTTCAACACTCAATGCTTGTGGGACTTACGATTGGAACTTTGAGGCCATAAGTCCCAACAGCAGTATTTTCTGAACTAGTTGTGCATTATAGCATGTGGTGAGGCTTTAAATGAAATGCTTGACATGTTTGCGCATTACAGCGTATCGTTTTTTTAAATAAGATTTTGTGTGGTATCTGAGGCCAGCTAATGCTGTAATGCGCAAAAGTGTCAAACGTTTCAATAGAAACCTTCACCAAATGCTGTAGTGCACAACAAGTTCAGAAAATACTGCTTCCGGGACTTATGGCTTCAACGTTCCAATCGTAAGTCCCACGAGCATTGATTTTGAACTTCTTGTGCATTACAGCGTTTTTGAATAAACATTTGGGAGCCGTTTGTACATTACAGCTTTTGGCGAGGTATTCTTAATGATTTTTCGATTTCTTGTGCATCACAGCATATGGTGGTATCTCGTATTTCAGTTTATTTCATGTACGTATATGCGGCTTATTCGTCGAGTCATGGGTAATGGGATCCTGGAATCCTGGATACATGGAAGTTCCAACTAACTTAAGTAAAATTGTTGCGGATATCCCGGATTGAATATATTGGAGTCCTGGATTACTGATTCTGGATGTGGTCCTGGTCCAGTTCAATCCATGCTTAAAATGAATTAGATTGAATACGAAAATGGTGCAAAGCTAGATTCCTGGTTTTGCAATGGATTCTGGATTGTATAAATCCCGTATAAATTTTGATTGAACATGATATGACAATCCTGGAATCATGGATTCCTGGTTTTGGAATGGATGCTGGTCTATGTAGTTCCCGTATAAATTGTTTTTTAAAACTACTACGAATACCCTAAACCCTAAACCCTGGAATGCTTGATTCCTGGTCTTGGATTGGATGCTGGCCTATATAGATTCCTGATTAAGATATCATCTGCTACTTCTCTGTTTGACCTTCCCCAAAATACAGCCAAACACGGAAACGGATTCCGTTTCAGGATTTTAGGGGTTCAGATGCGCCCTTGTCACATATAACATTTAAGTCATGAACATAATAAACAAGGCAAAGACACACCGTAAATGCCAGCTTTTCGGGCTTGTTCTCACATGCCTAAATGACTCGATTGATAGGACAGGAAGGACATGAAAGAAGAGCAGGGTGGATCATGGGGCGGGGCTGACCATATATACATATATATGTATATATGTATATATGTATATTTGTATACAACCATCCTGTACTAGCCCAAACTTGACCCTGTATAACACCTGTATATCCCACAACCCCTGTCAGCAAAACCCCGTATGGCTACCAGCAACTCAGTCATGAGAGGTGCTCTCACCCGAAACCTTAAATCCAAGGCCCTAAACCCTAAACCCATGAGAGGTGCTTTCACCTCCATGCTCTGCGGCTTCCTTGGCATGATGATCGCCACCTTCTCGAATGCCCGCACGACCATGGCCTGCGCACACAATGCAGGCTCCTGCATGCCAATGTAGGCGCCTAACAGCTAGAATAGGTCCTTGGGGTGTAGTCTACAAGAAACATCTTAGGATTGCTCGGGAACAGTACAACGTATGTCCTACATCGTGCAAGGGGGGCGGCTGTGAAGTGCTGCAAGACTATGGTTCCTATAAATTTGTGTACTTTACATATACAGTCGACCGTGTGGTCATGCATATGAGCTAATCACCTGCTGCCCCTCACAAGAATCGCCTCCACATCCCCTGCGAGCGATACATCTTCCCCCAAACATATAATGAGGGTATTCATGATTCTGGGGAGGGTATTACATTGAATCCCTGCACAGCTTGGCCTCATGAGGCTACACCCTGGGCTTCAACACTGCCTTCCGTGGTGGCAGCGTCATGGGCTACGCGCTGTGCTCCCTGGGGGTGCTTGTCCTGTGGATCCTTCTGACCTTCTACCGCACTGTTTACCCGGAGGCCGACGACTGGGAAGTCCTTTTCGACTGTGCGGCCGGCTATGGCTTGGGCGGCAGCACCGTTGCCATGTTCGGCCGTGTCGGCGGCGGCATCTACACCAAGGCCGCAGATGTCGGCGCCGACCTGGTGGGCAAGGTCGTGGCTGGCCTTGATGAGGACGATCCCAACAACCCCGCCACCATCGCGGACAACGTCGGCGACAACGTGGGCGATATCGCCGGTATGGGCGCGGACCTCTTCGGCTCCTTCGCCGAGAGCACCTGTGCTGCGCTGGTCATCGCGGCCGCGGCCGTGGAGGGATCCCACAACACGCTTTCCGAGGCTGGCTGGGATGCCATGCTCTTCCCCCTGGCCATCTCCGCCGCGGGCATCGTGATCTGCATCCTCTGCGGCTTTGTCGCCACGAACATCTCGCCAGTCAAGGAGGAGAAGGACATCGAGACCGTGCTGAAGGTGCAGATGGTGCTCACCGCCGTTTTGATGCTGCCGGTCATCTATTACCTGGCTGTCTTCTTGCTTCCCCACGAATTTCGCCTGGAGGGTGTCCGCCTCACGGAGGACGGCCATCCGGCCAAGATCAGCGGTAGCCCATACAAGTGCTTCATCTGCGCCACTATGGGCTGCGTCGGCGGTCTCATCATCGGCCTCGTCACAGAGTACTTCACTTCTCACAGCTACGTGCCCACGCGAGAGCTCGCAAGCGCATGCAAGTTCGGCACTGCAGTGAACATCATCCAGGGCTTGGCGCTGGGCTACAAGAGCTGCATCGTCCCAGTCTTTGTGCTCTCCTCGGCCATCTACATGTCCTTCCAGCTCTGTGACCTCTATGGCATTGCGCTGGCCGCCCTGGGCATGCTTGCCACGTTGTCCTGCGGCCTGACCATCGATGGCTTTGGCCCCATCTCGGACAACGCCGGAGGCATTGCCGAGATGGCCCTCTTCAAGCCGGAGGTGCGCCGAAAGACGGATGCCCTGGACGCCGCGGGCAACACCACGGCTGCCATCGGAAAGGGCTTCGCCATTGGCTCTGCCGCTTTGGTGTCCCTGGCCCTCTACGGCGCCTTTGTGGTGCGCCTGCGTGTGAAGACGGGCGTCAACATCTTCGAGCCAGTCACCTTCGCCTTCCTGATCATCGGCTGCATGGTCCCCTACTGGTTTGCCGCCCTCACCATGAAGTCTGTGGGCAAGGCTGGAGAATCGATACTAGTTGCCGCTATCACACTACGCTTGCTGCCGCTCCTGCATATCTTCTTTCTTGTTGGTGATGCTGTGGCAGTAGTAGGTTGTCTTCGAAGGGTATTCCTGATTCCCTTGTATTCCTTATTATGGCCCCCTAATGACCTCAAAGCCCCCCATGTCTAGGCCCCTAAATTTGGTATTTAATATTAACTAGGGGGTTTTTAGTAGTAGGGGGAAGGAGTTACTTAAGCACCTGCCCTAAACCCTTAACCCTCAACCCTTCACCCTAATCGCCGCGAGAGGCCGCTGGTGAGATGGTTGCCGAGGTGAAGAGGCGCTAGGGCCGTATGGACATGTATGGACCATGGGGATTTGGGTATCGGGTTGAGGGCAATGCGCGGCTTGTATGGGGATAACAGACCCTAAGCCCTAAACCCTAAACTTCCCATGAGAAGATGTAAGGCCCAAGTGGTTTCTTGCTCCCTGCAGTGGTCGGTTCCCCAATCACAGGATTGCCATTGGGTTTGCGTGCGAGATTGCCCACGTTCCCTGATGTTGGTCCCGTCTTTGGCGCTACTATAAGCATCACCACGCAAGTGCTCATATTTGCAAGAGGGGCTATCATAGGGAGACCCTTCCACCTGGCCACATCGACTTCTTTAATGTCCACCCTTCTGCAGGGTGCGCCGGCAGCCCCACCCCCCTTTCCACAAGCCCAGCAGCTGCTGGACACTGTAAGGCCTCAGAGGCCGGACTCTCGGTCTCGGTTTCCCCGACCTTTTTCGAACATCTTCAGCTCTCAAAACAGCTTGGCCCCTCCCCTCTCAGACACGCCAGGCGTGCAGCCAAAATATTCGGGAAATAAGTAGCCAAAAGCAAGGAGATTCACATTTTGATGCGGACTGGAATCCTGAATCCCGAAACCCGAGAAGAGATGATTTTGGGTGGGTCCCTGAGCAAGCATTGATTGTATTTTTGGGTTCTGGACCACCAGGGCCTCGTCAGTGTTGAAGGGCGGCAGCTGGGCAAGTTTTTCTCAGCAAGAATCTAAGCACGTGAAGAGTAAGCTTCCAAGACACTTGATTGAAGTTCCATTGCATTGTTGACCAAGATAAGCTTGGCCGATTTTGGGTCTTAAAGGCCCTAAAAAGATTACATGAATTTCTTTGACCAAGTCAGACAACGCAGGGGGCGTGAATGCATGCATTGGCCAGCCAGCATCGGGCCCCAGCAGCAGTCGCACACCACTTCGCGTTCGACCGTGCCGTGCTGCTGAACAAACCTCCTATGAGAAAAAGCAGCAGAAGCATGACCCCAAAGACCTCAAACTCCGAACCTTCTAGACTCGGAGCAATGAGGCTAAATATAACCCTACACCCTAAACCCTACTAAACCCCTCAGCCTTACTCATGAAGTTTCAAGCCTCAACACTTGCGCTCTACGGTGGTTGCCAGGCAGTTCAGCGTGAAGGACTCCAAGGGAAAGACCCTCTTGGAGGGCAGCGACGAGCCGCTCGAATGAATCTCAGGGTGTACCTAAGGGCTCGTGCGTATTCTTAGGTTCTAAATAGGGTATATACAGGTAGCGGATATTTATGAATCTATTCAGGGTACTTGTAACTATTTTTGGATTTTTGCTGGTTACAATTCCCTAAGGCCTAAACCCTAAACCACTAAACTTGTTCTTGCCTGTTATAACCCCCTAAAAACATGTGCTTTTGGGCGAGGAGTCCGAAGTTTAAGGGATCAAATAAGGGATATATAGAGATGATATAGGTGCAGCACTCGAGATTCGGCTGGGGGTTGGGGCGTTGGACAGCAGGTACATTCATGCTGGTCGCACTACATTCTAAGCTTGAGTTTTTTTTGGGGAGGCGGGGTGTGGGCCAAACCCTTAGGGCGGGAGGCTTTATCTCTAGAAGCAATTCTGGAGTGCCCCTTGCAAAGGGTTCGGGTTTACGGTCTAGGGTTTACGGTTTAGGGCTGATGAAGGGAGAAACCTTTTGACTTGATCCGCCAACACATTTTTTCGTTATTCAAAAATTGGGGTCCCGGCTGCAGGGGGCCGATTGAAGACGGGCTGCATAATGTTGTGGTGTATGGAGGGATACAATTCTTTGGAGAAGTTGGTGTCACCTTGTCGTGGGCCCCCCTTCTCAACCCCAGAGATGGCTAATGAAGCAGGGGCAGCCGTACAGTTCTGGTGCATAAGATGAGGTACAAAAGTACGGGGTATATGATTTGGTGCAAGATTTCGCATCAGCCATGGACGAGAGGATTTGACACGCAATGTCACTCTTTGTTACTGTTGAGGACTTGGGGGTTCAGATTTAAAGGGAACCTATGCGATTATATGCATGTGCAGAGAGTGGATTTGTGCCTTCAACCCAACACCAAACCCTCTTGAGCCAGCAACGGCTTGGCCCACCACAGGTTTCCCGCATGTTCTTGTGGGTACCCTCCCTAGATGAGCACGGAACCCTTTTGCAGGGCATCATTCAGATTGAAGACACTGCTGGAAGAGGCTATACAGGACGGTTAGGGTGGGGTAAACGCGAAGATGCAGCACAGAGGAGTGCGGCTGCTGAAATCTGGGAGTGGCAGCCTGAGGAAGTTCCGTGTTATAGTGTTGGTTACTCTAGGTATTGTATGCCTTCAGGCTTCAAGCCAAATCTTGTTTAAGTTGTGATTTGGGATGTTTTTCCGTTGGCAGAGCTCCGAAATCGGGCATTCACGATTGTAGATGAGTGAAAATGTAGGATTTAGAAGACATGTGCGCCTGGCAAGCGAACGAAGAGAAATTGGTATCAATGCTAAATGCAAGGGATTCTGGGAAGGTGGGGTGGTACCAAAACACGCAGGATGGGAGGTGCCTTGCAACGTGCCGGGACTGGACAGACTCAGCCCTAAACCTCCGTCGCTAAACCCCTAAACCCTAAACCCCTACGCCCCTAAACCTCTAAACCCTAAACTCTAAACCCTAAACCAGCCGAAAAAAGGTCCGTTAAGAACAAAAAAAAACTAAACCAGCCCCAAGACCCGTTGAGGCTCAAACCGGACTCCCTCACTTGCATCCACATTTCCACTGAGGCCACTGGGGTTTAGGGTTTAAGGCTCAGGGTTGAGGGTTTTGAAGTCCGGGCGGGGGTTTCTGGGTAGGTCCCTCGGAAATTTATTTTTTTTCCTCGTACCTTTGATATACGAAGGGTTTTAGTAGCCGACCCTGGTCGAAGGGTTAAGGAAAAAGAGAGTTGAGGATTGAGAGTTGAAGGATCTGGGGGGTGTAGGGTTTAGGATTCAGGGTTTAAAGGTTTAGGGTTTAGGATTTCGGGTTTCAAGGTTTAGGGCTCAGGATTTAGGGTTTAGGGTTTAGGAGGATATGGATCAGGTGGATCCCCCACCCAGTTATAGTGACTATAAGGGATCAAAAGGATTATACTAGGCTCCTTTTCTACTCTTCACTATACCACTATTACAAGGTGGGAGTCCTCCTAAGATATGAGGGTTTAAAATTCAGGGTTCATGGCCCATTTGCAAACCTCCAAAGTTTGGGGCATATTGAATCTGCTAAGAAACGGGCCCAGAATATCGGGTAGTCAAGGAACCAGGAACAAGCCAGAAGGCTTTGAGGTTATTCAGCTTTTGGGTTGTGATCCTCGGGGAGGATGAACTCCCCAGCCATAAGCCCCCCATTCTCACAAGAAGCATTCCCAGAAAAGTGCCCTTTCATCACAGGGTGACAGCCCAAACCCTAAGCCGTGTATATGAGAAGGGCAGTCGGAGCTGTTTTTAAGTGCGATCAAGTTCGACAACCTGCTTTCAGGTGGCAAGCATTTTGGGCCTTAGAGCTTAAGGTTTATCGGGCTTACTCGGATGTTCCTTGTTGAGAGTCCGGATAGATCCCGGTAATAAGGATTAGCTTCTTTGGCAACTTGGAGGTATAGGAGGAAACCCAACCTTGGGAAAGCTCCATATAGGAACCCTTCAAAAGATTAAACTATTCCTATCCTCCTCTTTGGCTTCCATTGCAAAGGAATCTCGTTTCCCTGGAGGTCCTTCCTTTGATTTTTACATGTGTTCACGGTTTGGCTTTCTTTCTCCCCCAACAAAACCCTCACCCCAAATGCGGAACAAAAACCTTAGCACAGCCCCGAGCAAACCCCGAACCCGAAACTCATCGAGGTTGGCGATGTCTAAAAACGGGGCTTGGTAAGCCTGCTTGTTCTTCAGAGCAAGTGAGGGTGCGGATCCCTGTAACAAGAAGGTCATAACTTTCAGCCTGCCTTTCTCCACCCCATCACTCCCACTGAAGCAACAGTATCCCTAAGGGTCCAAGGACCCAAATAATAGGGTTTTAGGGCCCAACGTGTTTGGGCACTAAGACCCTATTATTTGGGTCCTTGGACCCGGAAATTTTGCTCTGCGAAAGGCTCGATCTCGGAGCCCATCAGCGCCGACACAAAAACTCAAGCTATTAGAATTACGAGAAATTAGCACGCTTCGGCTTATTTATGAGTGTAACCCAATCATTCCTAGAGAAAGCAAAAGTACGAAGCTTACGATAAAGGAAGGTATTTTCCATCCATACTACACTTTGAGAAGTGTGAAGATTAAGTACCTCCTGGGTGGAGGGAATAGAGAAATATGCATTATGTATATCAGAATGGAGAGGGGGTCTATCAGAAAGGAGGTAATCGATTCTATTGGCCGCTTCGGCCATGCAGGATTCGGCCCAGTGTAGGCGGGGTCGGCCTACCCTATTAGGGCCCGGAATAAATCGATAGGCACCGGAGGGCATAAACGGGGATTGGTATTCTAATGATGTAGGGTGCCTAAAGAGATGACCGAATAACTTAAGACGTTGTTGTGAATAATACTGGGAGGGTGTAATAACTCGACGCGAATAGGCAAGACCAGCGAGATATTCGTTAGAGCACTCGGCATCAGATGGGTTAAGAACTCTGTGATAGTAGGATGACTTAACCTTGAAGATACGGCGAAGAGAGCGAAAGTGAACAGAATTAAGTCTGACAAGCTGGGCAGGAGACAAAAGGACGCTGTCCATAGCGTACATCAAGATACATAAGATTATAGACCTATAGACAGTGAGCTTCCAGGAAGGGGGAAGAGAAGCATGGGAGAGTAATGGCTTGAGTAGCTTTGAAGAATGAATGGCTTGAGAGATTCGATATGAAGTATTCTTGCGGGAGTTACCGGAAGTGTCCAGATACGCACCTAAGTACTTAACTTCGTTTGAGAGGGGAACTGGGGGCCCAATAGGGCCCTGACCTGTGCAGGAGTCACATATGCAGGCGGGAGAGGAAGTATCAGCTGAATAATAAATTCTCTGATCAGAGTTTAGCCTAAGGTGATCACACTTTTCTTCATTTATATGGAGCCCTCTTTGGGCTCCAAAATGTTGGATCAAGTGGAGCATCCTGGTCGCATGCTGTGAAGACTTGTTTAATAAGACCGTGTCATCAGCATATTCCATGTCCCACAAGGGGGAAGGAGTGTGTATAACTCCTGGGATTAGGCCATATAGAGCAGTATACTGGGATTCAACATCGTGAAAGAGGTGAGAAAGAACCATGCTAAACAGGTATGGAGAGAGGGGACAACCCGGTCTTAGGCCCTTAGTTTGAGCTCTAATTTCAGAGGTATGTTGAGAGTCCCTGACTCTGAAGGTGGATTATTATAAAGAGCCATAATAACTTTCGAAACGTGAGGCGAGACTCCAATAAATGTCATGGCGGATTGAATAGCGGTGAAAGTAACCGAATCGAAGGCCTTGGACCAGTTTAGAAAAAGAGCATGAAACGGGGAAGGCTGCCTTTCATGTATCTCGAGGAGACGGCGAAGAATGTGTATAGGCTGAGTAGTAGAGCAATTTTTTCTGAATCCAAACTGGGTAGGCCTAATTCTAGAGTCAAGGGAGGAGGCAAGTCGTGACTGCAACATCGAAGCAAATATTTTATAAGCAACGTTGGTAAGGGAGATCGGCCTATAATTGGAGAGTGAGCGAGTGTCTTTGGAGTAGTTTTTGACAATCATAACTACTTCTGAAAAAAGCCAGCTAGCGGGAACCTCGGCTTGAGAGAAGCAAAGGTTAAAGTGGTCCAATAAATACATTCTGAGGATATAAGGGGCATGCTTATAGATTTCTCCGACCAGCCCATTCGGACCGGGCGACTTAGCGGACTTGATTTTGCGCAAGGCTAAGTTTAGCTCGTGCATCGTGAACGGAGCATCCATGCTTAATGCAGCAGGAGATGGATCGGGAACTGGAACATGAGGATCTACGTGTGAGGACCACACTTTAACTGCCAGATAGTCCGCGAAGGTTTTCGCCCGTTGTGTTTTAGAAACAAGTTTGCCCTCAGTATTAAAAAGAGCCGCTGCTTTAGGTTTGAAATCAGAGCGTATAGAACGTATATGTTCCCACTGCTGGGCGGAGGAGCCATAAAAATCTTGTTCTAATGTGGTACTGACAAAGAGCTTTTTATATCGTAAGATTCAAACTTTGCTGAAAGAAATTTATCTTGTGCCTCTACTCCTATGGAAAGCCATGGGTTACTGTTGAAGCCTATATCAGGAGGAGACAGAGGAGAAGAAGGAGACGTAAAATCCCGGCCCAGAGATCCCGTCTGTGTGACTCCTTTTTTGGCCACGAGGTCTGCGATTTCATTACCTGGGTATCCCCTATGTCCTGGGACTTTCTGTATGGAGGTCCTAAACTGTGCTCTAAGGGCAGTGTAATATTGCTGCGCGAGGGAGACCAATTGGGAGTGCGTACAAGGAAGAGAAGTGCCAAGAAGAAGAGAAAGGACATACTGTGAATCAGTGTAAATTACCACCGAGTCGCCTCTATCGAGGCCAGAATGATACAGCAAATAATCAAATAATTCTATGATTGCTCTGAGTTCACCGGTATTATTAGAACCGACTGAGAGGCCTTCCGCCGATTGCGGATTAGATTTTACGGGGCCCCATGAGCAAATCCAAGTTGATGCAGGAGAAGGGTGTGAGTTGATGTCATGGTCAAAGACTAGCGCGAAACCCCATCCAGCAGGGTTCTCGTATGAGACAGTTCTATTATTCGGACAAGAACCGTCGGTATATGCTACTACTGAGCGAAGAGGTGGGGAATCAAAAGTAGCGGAGTTACCTGACTTAGCTAGCATGTCGGCCTCAACTGCTTCAAAGAACTTAGACATTTCTTTGAAATTCTTCTTAGGTGTTTTCGAGGGGGCCTGTATTGGGAGATAGGCAGTACGAAGGTGGAACGATAAAGGGAGATGTCTAGAGTTAACAAACTGTTGGAAGATAGACCCCGCAAAAGTACAGGAGCCTTGCAGGGTAGGGGGAAGGAGAATATAATCCAATGTGGTCCACTCTCGGACGTCATCGCTGAGACACAAATGATCGCTACATGTCATTTCCTTGTAAGTGACTTTTTACGGAAAGGGAGGTCGGAAAAGGTCTGGGGCAGGGAGAGGTTGTTAGCCGATAGGAAATCAAGTAAGTATACCGCATCGTCCCTGTCATAATCCTGTAAGGAAGAGCGCCTGCCGATGACCGCAGGACCAATATGATCTAAAGTTGGGTCCAAATGAGAGTCCAATCTGGCATTAAGATCGCCTACAAGGCAATGCGCGTAATATATAGTGTATGTGCATGCATTCCCTTGTTTTACACTTGAGCCCAATACGACCGTACGCAGCCCTTTAGTGGTTCGAAAAAAGAAGGGTTTTGCACTCCGCGCATGGTAGCGGAGCTCTGGTCGAGCAACCAGGGCTCCTGAACTTCTAGGGGGAGAAACTGCAGACAAGCGGGAGCTACCGCAAATCCCCTCCGTGCTGGTTTCTGCTTCGCCGAGGTCCGTGTGGAGGACCCGGGACAACCCGCAAGACGGGGAAAGCGAGAGGAAAAGGAAAGCCCAGCAAGGGCAAAGGCTGGGACAAAGGTAAGAGTAGCAAGAGGTCCGAGGAGGCCATTGCAAGGCGGTTGGCCAGGGGCCTGGCTAGAAGGCTCCAGAGAGACGCGGACGAGCAGGAGGAGCTGCTCGCTTCTGGCCAAGAAGGAGCCGA